ACTCCTATCAATTTTTCAAAATTCTCCCTAAAATGAACATATTAGGCTTGGGAATTCTTCTCTTGTCCGGATAATGGAGGGCACAGGTGACTCACAAGGCCTTCATATGGACAATAATTGGATGGAAGATGCATTGTTGGAAGTTGAGCAAGAAAGACCGAAGAAGGTAAATTTTTATATTATTTTGTTGGAACATGCTTTTTTCCTTATGGGCATGAAGTAAAAAAAAAATGATGTTTATCTAAATGATTCTAAATTGAATGTTTTGAAATAGGCAATATTTTAATCGGATTCACTGAAACCCTAGCCATACTTTTGTTGTAATACCTTAAGCCCAGTCTTTTAGAAGTAACAAACATTAACCCTAGTCTTTTTGCATTCTAGTGACAAACAATGAAGGTGAAGATTTGGCGCCACTTGAGTGTCAGTTAAATGACTCGAAAGATGATGTGGACGATAGTGGTTTTTGTTATGAGAGAAATGCACCGAAAATAGTTGTGGTTGGTCTAGATGCGGACCTTAAATTTCGAACAGCTGGTGAAGATGATGGCTCGGAACTGGATGATCTATATTATGCATATTATGAGGAAGAGTTGCATACTGATCATTCTTCAGGTGAGGAAATTATCATTTTCCCACTTATGATGCAGAAATGGAGAAGTTTAATCCACAACTAGAGGTTGGAAAATAGTTCAAGGATATAGAAGAATTTGAGAAAGCAGTTAGACATCATGGCGTTGTCACTAGGTATAATTTGAAGTTTAAGGTGAATGATGATAATAGAGCACAATGAGTGAACAAAAAGGATTGCAAGTGGAAGATTTGGGCTTCATGGAATAAAAAGAAGGGCTGCGTGCAAATTAAGACATTCATTTCGCAGCACACATGCATACGAGACAGGACAAATAGGCGTTGTACGTCTAAGTATATTGCTGAGAAGTACTTAGAGACTTTCAAGGTTGCCCCTGATTGGAAGTCAGAACTCATTATTACGGCTATGAAAGATGACTTAAAATTACTAATCAATAGAGTTACTGCATGCGGGCTAGAAGACATGCGAGGAGATTGATTGAAGGATCTAATGAACACCAGTTTGGCTTGCTTTGGTCTTTTGCTCATGAGACTTTGAGAAGCAATCCAGGATCTACATGTATAGTTACACACATGAGTCTAAACTTCAAGGGATTTATATATGTTCAGAAGCTTGCAAGAGAGGTTTTATGAGTGGTTGTAGGCAAGTTTTAGGCTTAGGTGAGTGTTTTTTGAAAGGAAATTTTAGTGGACAGATGCTTGTTGCAGTGGCACTAGATGCTAATGATTATATTTACCCAGTAGCACACGCAATAGTGGAGACTGAGAATGCTAAAAGTTGGGGATGGTTTGTTAGTCATTTGGGTGAGGATTTAAGCATTGTGAATAGCAATGAATGGACTTTTACGACTGATGGCAGAAGTGATTACAAAAGGTTATTGAGGATTTGTACCCTGATGCTGAACATAGGTTTTGTGTGAGGCATATGTATACAAATATCTTTAGGGCTGATTTTAAGAGTTTGGCACTTGATGGCTACTTATGGAAAGCTGCAAAGTCAACTACTGTACCTGATTGGAAATTTTGGATGGATGAACTTAAGAATTAGAGTACAGGTGCATATGAGTGGTTAATGAAAAAAGATCCACGTGAATGGAGTAAGTCTCATTTCTCAACTAAGGTAAAGAGTGATATAGTACTTAGCAATTTATATGAAGTTTTCAACAATGTAGTGTTAGAAGATAGGGATAAATCAATCTTAACTATGTTAATTGACATGCATATCAGCTGCATGAAGAGAATACAATTAAGGAGGGATAAAATGAGAAGAAGAGTCAGAGGACCTTTGTGTCCTAAGATTCAACAAAAATTAGCTAAATATATGGAAATAGCTGAAGAGTGTGAAGTGGAATGGTATGGGGGGCTGCAATTTTATCTGAAATGTCCTACTGGGGAATATGTGGTTAATTTGTCAAGCAAGACATGGGCATGTAGGAGATGAGATTTGACGGGGATTCCATGTGGGCATGTGGTTGCTGTTATACTAGATAGAGGAGATAATCCTACAAAGTATGTGCATGAGTGCTATACAGTGAAAACCTATCTACAGTGTTATGAAAACATTGTCAATCCAATTAACGGTAAGAAATTGTGGCCGGAAGTGAATGCTCTCCCTTTACAACCACCGGGTTGAGTTGTGTAACTCTTTCCGACTCCACTTCAAGAATGTAGAAAAAAGGCACGGTGAAGATGACTTGCGGTGTATGTGGTTTAACTGACCATAACAAGTGTTACCATGATAAGACAGATGCACCAATTGAGGTTTCTGGTTTTTTTTAACTACTATAGCATGTTCTAAAGTTATGTAGTTGAAATTAAGTTTTTAACTATGTTTCCTAATTTCAAGATTGGGATGGAATTGATCACAATCATATAAATGAAGATATATCTAGCCAAGTTGAAAGTCAAATTTCAAGGGTAATTTGTCTGGTTTTGTGTGAGGTTGATTTCCATTGATTTCGTATTTATGAGTTTTAACCATTTTTTCTAACATAGGCAAAGCTGGTACCTCGAAGAGAAAACGAGAATTCAACAAGTGAAGTGCAACAAAATCCTTCAACAGATGGATACATTTTCATACCCACACCTGGACTAGGGATGATGCCCAAACTGAAAATATTCCACTATTCAACATGGTTAGAGATTTTTTGGTCTTACAAGCCCAAGAAAATGCAAGATAGAGGGCTGATAGGGTAAAGTACACAAGAGTGGTCAGAGATTCAATTCCTTTTGCATATCCAAGGGCAAGGAAGAGTGGAGCAACTCAGTAGAATTTATTTTTGATAGGCAACCTATGTTCTAAATGGCCTAGGTTTAGGGTCATCATGGAAGTTAGTGAACTATTTTTTGAAGGTGTTTTGTTGTAGTTTATGTAGTAGAATGGTCAGAATGTTTTTGAACCAGTGGTTTTATTCCAGCAGATTGAATGAATGGTTTTTGGATGAATGTTGTTTCAATGAATGGTTATTTTCCAGTAAGTTTATATTAGTCATATATATTTTTTTAATTCTCAACAGTTAATAAATCACCAACTTGTGGTACATCAGGTACATTAGTCATATCACTACTATATTAATAGAGAGGATGGCCAAATCATTGAAGAGAAACAAAAAAATAAAATAAAATGAAGAGTGTGCTCCGCATTTTTTGTTTTTGTTTTTTTTTTACAATTTTTTTCTCTTCAGTTTTTTTAGAGGATTTCGATTTGGGGGTTCTAGTACCAAGTTTTGATTGGGGGATTTTAGTTTATGGATTTTGATTTGGGTTAATAATATAAAGGCTTGTTTGTTTGGTTCTTTTTGGTAATTTGAACATAATTAATGTCATCAATACATCACGTATATTTTCTGTTATTCACGTGTAGTTTTCCGTCTACGTGGAGGGACGGGTGTTAAAAGAGCGGTGGATGGGTAATCATATGAAAAGATGGATGAATATTGAATAACTCTTTAAAGTATAATGAGTAAGTAGGAGTTAATTGTTTCAACGGTCACTGAACTTTACAAAGTGTCACGTTTCACTAACTGAACTTTGAGTTGCATCCCATCACTCACTGAACTTAGTAAAGTTGCATTCCATCCATCACCGAACTAATTCCGTCAAAATCGGTTGTCTATGTGGATGACGATTTGCACACGTGGCCGTTAAATTAGTCCAGCTGGCCATTAATTAGCCATGTCATAAATTCCCAACACCCACATACGTCTCATCCAATTTGATCTCATGCCTAAAGACGACTAGGCACGGCCAGTGCATACGTGATTGTGGATTTCGACGACCAACAGAGACGTACCAGACCATTTTTCGGGATCTCAACCCTTAATGGGACGAGAAACTCGAATTCTTGGTCCATGATGTCGAATCCATGGCGTCAAAAATGTTAGAGCTCAATGTGTATAATGATAAAAAAAAGTGAAGAAAAGCACTTTTCTTGGAAAAGTGAAGATTGCTGGGAGCAATTTTGTGAAATCTGGTGAAGAAGTGCCTTTGATTTTTTATCCGTTGGAGAAGAGAAGTGTGTTTCACAGATTAAGGGGGATATTGGGCTTACGGTGTGGTATGTAGATGAGGAGCCGCGTCGACTCCAACTCCACCTGTGACTGGAGGTGGCGGCCAAGAAGGCTGATGCTCCACCACCGATTGAGGGACAAAAGAAGGAAGATGAGAAAAAACCCACTTCGGAAGAGTCCGAAAAGGAAGAAAAACCACCGGAGACTCCAAAACCAGATACTGCGGCTCCACTACCTCGACAGCGGCGGAAGTACAAAATCCACCATTGGCTTAACAAAAAAACACCTAGAAATCACAAAAGTCAATTGTTGCTAAAAATTTGAAGAATATTGACATTGAATCAAAATTGTTTTGTAAAATCTCCAATTCCGATGTGTGAATGGCTTTTGATTTGGTGGATCAAATGCCGTTTCTATATGTTCGTGTAGCCAAAGCGAAAATCTCAAATCCAGAGGCAGATTTCAGAGATCAAATTGCGTAAGACGAGTTTGGGTGTTGGAAATTTATAACATGACTGATTAATGGCCAGTTGGAGTAATTTAACGGTCACGTGTGCAAACAATCATCTACGTAGGCAACGGGTGTCGAAGGAATTAGCATGGTGATGGATGAAGTGCAACTTTATTAAGTTCAGTGAGTGGTGAGATGCAATTTAAAATTCAGTTAGTGAAACGTGACACTTTGTAAAGTTGAGTGGCCGCATAATCAATTAATTCGATCTAGTAACCATTTAAACTTAAGTGATGATTAATTAGATTTACTCCTTTAATATTGTCTCAAAGTTTTGCGTTACTGGACGAATTTCTTGGCTATATTCTTTACAGCATTCGTTTAATTCCCTGAGCTACAGAAGCAGAAGTTCATTTGCTTCTGATTCTGTGAATTATTGAGTTCAAGAAATGGAGCAGAGGCGGCAGGTTTTCTCAGTGGACCTTCTAGAGAGGTACGCCGCGAAGGGTCGGGGAGAGATCACATGTATGGCCGCTGGGAATGATGTGATTGTGTTAGGTACAAGCAAAGGCTGGGTCATTCGACACGATTTTGGCGTTGGCGATTCTTTTGGTGCGTATTGATTGCATTTTCCTGCACTATTATTATCATTATGCAAATTATTTGAATATATATTCGTATTGTCCGAAATCTTGTTAGGAAATTCCCAATTGCTAAAGAAATTGAGCATTTTATTTCCTTTTATGTTTGCTAATTGAGCAAATATTTTAATTTATCTGTAATTGTTTTTGCTAAATAGGGCAGTGAATTTATCGACCAAACTGTTAAAAAATTGGGCTTGGGTGATATACCCATACTGATAGGCCAAAGCTCACCTTTTAATGCTATTACTGAACTGATTTTGAATTCAGGTTCATTTTTCTGTCCAATTGAAGCATTATGAATTAACTTTTAAGTTTGATCTCCGAATTTTATGTTTTGTCTATTTACGGGGTAATTTTTTGGCTAGATATTGATCTCTCTGCGGGTCGACCTGGGGAGCAGTCCATCCACACAGTTTTTGTGGACCCAGGAGGTAGCCATTGCATCGCTGTAGTAGTTGGCAATGGAACCTCTGACACGTTTTACACGCATGCAAAGTGGACCAAGCCTCGTGTCTTGAGCAAATTGAAAGGCCTTGTAGTGAATGCTGTTGCCTGGAATAGGCAACATATAACAGAAGGTGAACATCAGTGTTGCTTAGTGCCTCTGTCTTTGATCCACATTTCATCTACGTCAAAAAATTTGAGCAAAACAAGTGTATTTGCTATCGTTTTGCAGCTTCCACAAGGGAAGTCATTCTTGGTACTGACAATGGCCAACTTCATGAAATTGCTGTCGACGAGAAGGACAAGAAGGAAAAATACATTAAATTTTTATTTGAACTCAGTGAACTTCCTGAAGCTTTTATGGGTTTGCAGGTTCCAAGCACCCTTTCCTTTGTTTTACCTTGTCGTCCCACCTCTTTGAACCTACTTATATAAACTATTTGAACTGCTGAAAGTTACTTGTAGATGTGAGCTAAGAGTTAATCAAAACTGTGCTAAATTAAGAAAAAGATGACATGCCAAGTAATAACTGTTTTATGCACATTCTTGTAAAACTTGGGAATTCTTTTGAAACCCACAATTTTCTAATCTGAAAAATCAACTACATCCTGGAAAACTCTGCTGGTGTAATAAAGATTTTTGCCACCCTTAAATCACTTGTATTTTTTAACCAATGCTAGGTTTCACTAAATGGAATGTCATATTCTGGAAGCCAAAAATACCCCGTTCTAAAAGAAGAGTATAATACTTATCTTATAAAGGATTTACGTTCCTTAAGGTGAGAAAATACCCTGATTCGGGTTTTCTTTCTTAGCCTTGGGAGGAAAAATGCCCATTTTCTAATAAGTGGTTCAAATCATTTTATCGAGATGAGTGTTCTATATCGATAAAATATTCATTTGAAAACCATCTCTATATTAACATAGTGGTAGAAAGAGTACCATGCTGCGTCTAGACGTCAAACGGTTTGCTTTAACCATCTTAACAGTCCCACATTATTGGTTCCTAGAGAATCAAAGTAGATTTGCCAATTAATCACGAAATGCTATGGTTCTTACATATAATTTCTTAATTTCTTCAGAAGTAATTCGCGAGATCATGCACCTCTCTTTCCTAGTTATAAAGGAAAAAGGTCCAG